ACTATGTATATAGATTAGAGTAGAAACTAGTTTAGATAGTAATATGTAATTTTTATAGAGCCTAACACAGGCTTATAATTATAACTGTTCAGTGTAGATAAAAAAACACTATATTTAGTTTAGTTTTTTTCATTTTCCCCTTATCCCATTCATTTCTTGCTTGTATTTTTTTTAGGGTGGCTTTAAAATAGACCCAGGGTCTATATTATTAACCTATGACCAGTGTTATAAATTCAAAAATTTTTATTGGTGCAAATGCAAAAAAAAATATGCAAAAAAAAGAAATTTATATGTGCTTTATATATACAGAGAGCGCTGATATATACGCAAATTTAAATCTATGTATGCTGCGCATACTATGCAAATCCAATTTATATCACTGCCTATGACTTCTAAAAATAGCCAATCAGAATGCATAAATTTTGATTTTTCCAAATCAGTCCAAAGTCAAAACAAAACACATGCACAAGAAGAAAAAAGAAAAAAAGTGAAAAAAGTGAAAATACTCAAAAATTAGTGTTTAAATTGGCCTTTGTACACTAACAAAAAATGTTGTGTGCATAATTTTACATATAGTGAATGCAGGAATAAGTATCAAAGTCTATAACCACCAACTCTAACCAGAACTCTAACATAAAATCTAATACAAATGCGCTACATCATGTTACTGATGGAGTCTAGATTAATAATATAGACCTGGGTCTATTTTAAAGACACTTTTTTTTAACATATACCTCTATACCTCTGTGTTTATTTAAAATTTTTTTTTTCTTTTACTTCCCTATAAGAAGATGTCATCAGATTGGCGATATTCTATTATAAGGTGGTGGTCAGATAAGTGCTTCGATTAGAGTATTATTTTATATCTCGCCAGTGCAGCAGGTCACCTATAAATGCTTGGGTAGCCTTTGATTATGTTGCAGTAGTCATAGGATATTAGGGCTAGAGTTTTATTGTTTTAAATCTTCTATGAGAAAATGACTTGAATAAATATAGATTACTGACATGATCTTGTCTAAATAAAAATAAAAAAAAAAATATATATATACAGTATTATCAGAAATAAAAAATATAAAATTTTTGAATAAAATATTATAAAATTATAAGGCTTTGATAACTAATTAAGCAATTAAAAAATAGAAAGTTTATAATTCTTTTTGACAATTCTCTAATTAACAATAACAAGAAAACTGAATTACAGAAAAACAATATAGGAATGTTCAAGTCAGATACTTCTCAGTTCTATCTTAGAATAAACAGTTGTTGACAAAGCTTGTAAATGTAAAATACAAAGAAGTAAATATACTCTAGATGGTTTTTCTTGGGATTAAGCCTTTTTATCTAATTCTGTGATAGATTCTTTAAGTTATTTAACATTCAAACCAAAAGAGTATTTTAAAAACTAGTTTTATCTTTGTATAGATTGTTGTTAACAAAGTTTAAAAGATGTAATACACTAAAAAATGATATAACTTAAATGATTTTTCTTGAGGTCAAGTTTTTGCTATATTTCTTTTGACAAACTCTTTAAATTATTCAGCATTCAAACCAAAAAGGCTATTCTAGAAACAAGTAGTAGTCAAAAGTCTCAAACTAAGAAAGTTAAAGCTTGAAAAATTATATATATGACTATAAAACTTACAAAAAATTTTCTATACTCTCATTAATCCTTTACTTTTTTTAAAAAAAAAAATTGTAAAAAAATAGCCTATTTAGCTTATCTCTTTTAAAAAATTATTACTTATTAAATTAATCACATTGTTTACTTTTTTATCTGTCACAACAAATATATAAATATATATAGAATATGAATATATGGATTATATGCCTCAAATATAGCAATCTGTATAAATTATAATATACAAGTTGAAAAAGAACTTTTTTTTTTCTTTAACAATCCTATTTATTTCATTATAAGAACAGACTTTCATTCTTATATCGGCTAATGAAGAAATCTAAATTTATAATTATGTGCTGAAAAATTTTTTGTAGATGATCTACAGAAGTTGAATGATTCTGTTAGAATTTGAGATACTATATAATTTATATTCAGAACTATTTTACACAACATTCTGTTACATAAATGAATTATAGAAAATGATGTATCGATTTTAATTTTTTTTTTTTTTTTTTTTTATAATTTTGCTGTATACATAATAAGATTAGTTACAATGTTCTATTACAATGATATATTAATTTAACTATCTATTTATATTTTGTATAACCACTTTCGTGTGGCAAATCACCTCTAATTTCCTATTAAAAAACTAGTCTAAGGTTCAACTAATTATAGGAACAGGAAAGGGAATCTCCTAACTAGTGCTCTTCATTACACCCACTTTTTAACAGATAACCTAGTTTTCTTCAAATTTCAATTAAGGAACCACAGGAGAATTCTTCATCGGATAAATTCTATACCTTTACAGACAGGTTATATCACTTCTAAATTACCCTGCCCTTATAAAGTTCACTCATATACTTAAAGATGTGCTACCTCTCTACTCGAGTCTTGCCAAACGGGTGTCTATCTTGCCTAAATTCTCTGAATTTATATGACTACAAAACTTATTTTAAGTTTGCACCATATTTAATTAGCTTGCATTCCTTCGTATAACTTATACATTATAGAAACACCATGTGGGTCCTCCTACTTTTTAGGTTGGTGGATACCGAGTTACAGGACTGAGCCCCAACTTTGATAGACACTATGCAGTATAGCTCTAACCAGGAAGATTGTAGCCATAACATAAGTAGAATTCGAATTTTTTTGTCGTCAGTGGGATTTGAACCCTAAACATGCCACTTGGGGTGACAACTTGACCACTTCACTAAATCACCACACCCTATCGATTCTAATTTATTTTTATTAAATGTTAATTAGATAAATAGCTGGCTTTCTAAAACTCTCTGCTAAATTTCATAAAAATTAATAGTGAAATTATCAACAAGAATTACAGGATGAAGATAAAAAACTAGTAAAATATATCCAATAGTTGAAATAGGTGGATCATAAAATATATCATTTATTGAAATGTTGATCTGATATGCTAGATTACCCAGAGCATTACACCTAGTAAGTATACTACTACCTTTTTGTATAATCCTAAAATACCACTATTTTTTTAGGAAAAAATATATTATAAATATCAAAAAAATAAAATAAATAGAATCTCTAAACAATTTAACATTACTTTTTTGGTTGGTATTTCTTGTTTCTATAATTTAGCCTAATATCCAAAAAGTTTTTAGAATATCAATTACGAAACTATAATAAAATTACATACCTTTATTGATCGATTAAATTGTTCATATGTATTTCATATAGTTTGCAAATTATAAAGTTTTATTCCTAACACACATCTTATATACTGCTGATTTATCTAAAGTTCACATTTATTTTTCAATCTATGGTAACTTTGACTAACTGCAACCTCACATATTATTCTAGCATGAGAATTCCTCTACAAAAGTATAAGTATTAGAAAATAATATACAAACCAGATAATGATAATATATACCAAATTTAATACACTCTTGTGTTGCTTGGAGGAAGCCAATATTGAGAGGTCCAGAACTAGGAGGTTTTTGAACAGACTCCACCAGGAGTCTAGACACTTTTGCAGTAACATGATGTGGTGTATTGTGACATATTCGGATAAGCTTTTTTGGCTTTATATTATGTTTCTGGTTAGGGTTCGTGGTTATAGGCCTTGAAAGATCATTTTCATATTGTTACAGAGTAACTTTATAATGTTACACTAATAGATTTGTAGAACAATACTTTATAATTTATAGTTTATATTTTAGATATAATTCTAGTTAAATTTGTATTGTATTAGAATTTATATTGTATTTAGAATAGTTAGAATATTGAAGTGTATGCCAGTGTGTGCTGTATACCACTGTATGCCGTATGCCACTGTGTGCTGTATGCCACTGTGTGCCGTATGCCACTGTATACCATATGCCAGTGTATACCACCTGCCACATGGTGTATGCCAGCGTATACCACCTGCCACATGGTGTATGCCAGTGTATGCCACCTGCCACATGGTGTATGCCAGCGTATGCCACTTGCCACATGGTTATAGAATAGTATATCTTAGTACAACACACATGGTTGTATACCAGTGTATGCTAGTATACCTCACATGGTTGTATGCCACTATATGCCAACCTAACAGTTATTTAAAGGAAGGCTTTTCCCCTTTACCCCAACAGACAATTAGACAATAGATAGTGGAATAACTAGATAGTTAGAATAGATAATGAATAGAAACTATTAAATACTTTTTGAAATATTGTTCTCTAAATATTCCTATAATATTCCCTTTGTTCTAATGACCTTGTAATATCTTTATTGTCTCTAAAACAAGTAAATAAATCCTTCTGCTTAAACCTTCTCTCTTGCTCTTCTTAAACACCTTCTTTAAAAATACCACTATAACAATATGTAAAATTACACTCCCAACATTTCTTGTTAGTGAACAAAGGCCGATTTAAATACTAGTGTTTGAGTATTTTCGCTTTTTTCTCTTTTTTTCTTCTTGTGCACGTGTTTTGTTTTGATGTCAAGCTGATCCGGGACAATCAAAATTTACGCATCCCGATTGGTCATTTCTCATGCGCCACATCACGTTACTGCAAAAGTGTCTAGAAACTACCCCTAGATCGCCACCAAAATTTTCACCGGCACGTGATTTTAGGGTGGTGCAACCAATTATATTCCAAGATCAGGTGTAATGTAACACGAGCAGAAAATTTCAAAACAAACGGTCGTTTTGTCAAAAATCGCTTATTTCTCGAAAAACTGTGTATGAAACCACCTTTTGTGTTCTAACAAAAAATTTTCCTTGAGCGATTTTACTATATGCCAACCTAATTTCTAACCCTAATATAAGCTCTAACCAAGCATAAACGAACTTTAAATTTTTTTCGATGTGGCACACATGATCACGTGCCGGTGAAAATTTTGGTGGCGATCTAGGGGAAGATAGTGTCTAGACTCCTGGTGCGGTTCTTGGAACGTATGTCTTATTCGGACGTACTGCAATATCCGGTGCAATCCTAAGTCCATCTACATTTGGTGAAGGATGAACTATAAAAAGGATAAAAGATAACAGAAAATCCATAAAAAGTCAAAGATCAAGCAAGCTCGAATTTCCTTACGTGGTTGACCTGAAACGATTATTGGTGAATCAGCAATTTCATAGCCATTGGGAACATTAAAATACCTTTGCAATAGTGCAACAACATCTTCATGTTCTTGTGTGCACATATCAATAATAAAAACGTTGCCGTTATTATATTCAAGCCTGTACCCAGATAGTTCACGGCTTTCAAGAAATTTGTTGTAGTTTTTTATCGATTAGAACCAATCTTAAAAGGTAAACTGCAAATCATGAGTTAACACTAAGTGGAACTTAAAGGATCACAGCTCTATGATAAAATCATATGTTACCTGCTCTCCTCTATAGGTTCCTTTGGAAATTTTGGAAGTCGGAATTGTTCTTGAAGCTTCTTAGTTAAATCACAAAACATTTTGAAAGTTTGAGTAAAAAATACGGCGTGGTTTGTAGAATGAGTCCCGAATTATTATTTCAGTTCAAGGTAAAGATAATCAGGTTATCGATCACAAGTCACGAGATATTTGAAAGGTAGATCTCAATCACTCTCCGCGGAATACATTTCGGTAGGTAAACATTTAATACAAGCAATTTTAACCACGAAGTAGTAGAGCTTTATTTTTTTCTTCGTAATTATACAGTAACTAAACGAACTTTAACTTCCCTCCTCATTTATAGGTTCCAACGGTTGACTACCTCCTCCCCTGCATCGGCCATACTAATATCACTATCATTTTGCGATGCAGATATGTTTTGGGCTGGATAATATTTGTCAAATCATATGAAAATTCGTGTGTTGCGTTACTTAAATTTCCACCTACATCATTCGCGTTATGGCCGGATAGATTAGTGGAGCAACTAAAATTCAGCAGATCGACCAAAATTTAGGGTCGGAATAGGTAGCCCACGTATTAAGTAAAGCTGCCCATATGATAATTTTGCTGTAATATAGTTGGCTTGTATTATTACTTAATGCTGGCCTAGCTCCGGGCCCTAAATTTTGGTCGGTCTGCTGAATTTTGGTTGCTCCACTAATCTATCCGTTATGGCCCGAATCTCCATCCACATCAGTTGCAATATGTAAACATAGGATAATATGCCATTGTTTCCGCAATAAGACACATAAGTTGCTATTGTTTACTTACCGGGTCTTTCCCAAAATTGAGAGCTAAATTCTTAAAATATCGCTCACCGGTTCTGGTTCTCTTTCCAGTCTTACTCCCCAGCTATGTATTGGCACATTGACTAAAAAGTTATGAAAGTGCATTTACGGAGTCAGTTACTAAGTGGCTAGAAATACTATCATAGGTGGTGGAAATTCTGCGGAGCAGGGGTTTAAAGGTCTAACATTTACGTTATAAACTCTAATAAGATTCTGAAACCTATTTTTACATTGATATCCTGTATAACTGGTTCTAAATCGTTCATTGATTGTATTTGCTGCAATATCATGATACTCGCTATTGCACGCACGTACGTACGTAGATCGTTTATCACATGATAATGTTCGGAGTAGAACTTATTCTAACATGCATATACATATACTAATATTATAGTCGGTAAAGACTCAATACGTAATTTATAATTAGAAATTTCATAACTACGTACTATTCTTGAAGGTTCAAATACCGGGGTTTACTAATTTCTCCCCCACTTCCTATTGGACGAAGAAAAATCCTGCCTTTTGATCAAATAATAGAATATCGTTGAAGCAGTATAAAGGTCTAATAAAACATATTCTGTACTAAACTTTTGCAAGGAATTTTTTTTGTTAGAACACGAAAGGCGGTTTTGTAATCAAAATTTTAAGTTACTGCCGATTTTTGAAAAACTTCGATTTTTTTTAAAAAATTTTATGTTACACCTGATCTTAAATTTGATTGGTAGACGAAGTGTGGCGTAGTCTACTTTGTCCAATCAGAGATAGCATTTGCAAATGTCCAATCAGAACTGGGGGAGAAATTAGGGATCCCCAAATACCGGTTATATTCACATATCAGAGTAAATTACAAATCATGATTTTATTGTCAACTTTGCAACTAATGTTATAATACAACGGCATATATACTGTAATAATAAAAATTGTACATAAATACTGTACTGGATAACAGTCTTATAAGACTGTTATCCAGTTGCATTATAATGTTATCTAGTTAGGCATTCAAGTGACGAACAATTCGCATTTGCGTCGTCAGAGATATATTAGTATTTGCTTCATCATTTGAGTGATGACGAATTTGAGTTCACATCGTCATTCGAGTGACGAACGATTTGCGCTTGCGTCGTCAGAGATATATTAGTATTCGCTCCATCATTCAAGTGATGAATGATTCACGCTTGCGTCGTCATTCGAGTGACGAACGATTCGCACTTGTGTCGTCAAAGATATATTAGTATTCGCTCCATCATTCGAGTGATGAACAATTCACGCTTGCATCGTCATTTGAGTGACGACGAATTTGAGTTCACGTCATATCGGTAATAATTTTACTTTTGGCAGACACCAAAGCATCTGATGATGAGGCACATAGTGCCGAATTGTTACCCTTATTTGATGATACGTAAAAGCAAAAATTTATCTTATCTCTTTCCTTATAATATTCTGCCTTTGCGTATCACTTTTTTTAT